ATGGAGAGGATTTTGCTGGAAGTTGCAGGGGAGTTGGCTGCGTTTCGGCAGGTGTTTGACTGAGAAAGGCCTATTTTGAAAGGCTGCTACTGTAATTTAAGACATTTTTACTTATTTCTAGATCATTTTTGATGTGTAGCCATTCTACTGGATCAATATGGTCTATTATTTACATCAGTTGGGCATAGTCTGATGACACACTGCCCTGCACTGCTGTATATCCTGTTTACCAAATAAACATTTTTACCTTATTTTAAACAGTAAAAAACTGCTTTCTCTTTTCCTTTGCTGTAACGAGAACATCTGCCTGTAATTTTCATGCTTCCCTCTTCTCCTGCTCCAGACGTCTCACCTGGGATTTCTGTTCGACATAGTCAGATGTTCTTCTTCTAGTTTGTTAGGTTTGTTAAAATCTAATTAAAAAGCAAAACAACGTTTTATAGTATTCATATCCTTTGGAAGCTTTATGATTAAAACATTTTACTGCGACAGGAAATGAATCAGATATCTATCAAGACTTTTTAATTCTATTTGTTTATAAATGGAATGTCCCTTGAGGTGCGCCATGTTGTTTTTGAGGGGGTCCATAAAACAACACACAAGTAACAAAAACACAACACAGTTCTGTACAGACAGTATAAAACACACAACAATAACCACAGAGACAAAAACAAACTTTCTTCAGAGTTTTCCAAACCACTTCAAGATATTTAGACAAGAAATAGTAAATATGAACCACAACTCGTAACAAATGAAATTATACATATTCCAAAGGATGAAGCAAAAAAACGAGATACAAAAGCACAATTACAAAGTAATAGAAAAAATAGAAAACTATTATTATCGTGATTCCAAAAGAGTAAAAGAAAATAAATAAATCCTCAGGACTTTGTTTCCAAGATTTATTTGGAAATAAACAATTTATTTGGAAACTGCAGCATGTATTTGCCAAAAGGCTGAGCTCAGACTGAACCTTCCCTGGTTAGTGACTTACATGCTCATTATCGTTTCCCGTCTGAGTCCTGAAGTCACTAACCTGGGGTCCCGTCTCTGCAGAGAATCCAGAGAACCTGACCCGGCTGACGAGTTTATTTAATAAACATTTGTTTTGAAACCACCCTGATCCGTCTATTTGATTTCTGGGTTCTACGTTCTGAGCTTCTGACCGAAAAAATCTTCATTTACAGCCATAAACCATAACTACTCAGCAGCTTTATAATTTTTGATATTTCTGAGCTTTTTGTTTGGTTAAAAGCTCCAGGTCTCTGGGTTTGGGGGGCCTCCCTGCCATCACCATAATCTTTAGCTCCATTTCAAAGATTCTGCATCAGATTTAAGTTAGGACTCTAATATAGGACTTTTATATCGGTTATTATGATTCATTTTGTTTGAAAAAGTGTATTTTATATCACAGGCCACTGAGTGGATTCTTTACATCTTTCAACACTAAAACCAGCAACAATACCAGACAATTGCTGTTGATATGTTTTATACAAGGAAAACAAAAGGAGGATTTCTAAACAGTTTCCTTTGGAAAACTGAAGAACGCATCAGATTTAGGGTATTTGTTAAACTAAAAATAAACCCAAAAGTTCTCCAGGATTTAAATATCACTTTGCAAAAGCAAAGAGAATGCCTTGTTTTTTTGTTTGTTTTTTTACGGACTGATTAAAAGAAAACGTTCCCTACTCCATCATTTTATGTCACTGGCTAGAAGAGTTACAATCCGACCGTCCTCACATGCAAATTCCAGAGTCTGAAAGTTAAAAGTCGTGTTTTACTTCTCTGCATAAATGTGCATTCATTTAAAAAGCATTTGCATACATCACTCAAACAGATCCGCCATTTCCTCTGCTTTTTGTTTCCTCCTGTAATCCTCCTGCCTGTTACTGTGTTCATGCTGGGTTTTAGACAAGCCTGGAAAAATAACAATAACATTTACAGTTTATTAGAATTTATGTGGGCATGGCTCATTTTTAAGTGGTTCGCACAGCTGACCTTTCACTTTTTCTTGACTGTTTTTGAATGTAAGTATTTTACTCCATTCTATAAGGCAGTGAAAATGGAAATTAAAAGAACGGCAGTGATCCATCAGCAGGTTTAAAGGTCAGGGCAATCAGACACCCAGAAGGAAGCACAGAAATAGGC